CAGAATTGGTCGCGGCTTCTAGGTCCGCTAATTAGCGGATTCGTCCCTGGTTCGGAGAGGCTTGACAGGCTTTTAGGGAGCGCACACCCTTCGCGCCCCAGGATCCTTCCTAGGGCGTTTGGGGGGGCTCAACCTCCACCTGTCAGCTCTTCTCTCTCCCCTTTGCCCGGGGAGAGGGTTCCAAGCTTCCAGACAGCTGTTTTTCGGCTGTTCCGGGGCTTTAACGGAACCGGGGATCGGGCACTCGTAAAAGAGCGTCTTCGAGGCTTGCGGAGCCAACCGGAAGTCCAAGATAGTTCTTGTTTATGTTGATGATATTGTTTATATTGGTCCAAATAAGCAGATGAGTGAGAATTTTGCTAAAGCTTTGCAGAGATATTTCACATTGAAATCTTTAGGCCATGTTAACACTTATTTAGGTGTTCAGATTGACAAAACACAGAAGGGGTTTAGTCTTTCATAAACATATGAGGTTATTTTTAGAACCGACACATACTGATTATGCAGAATTATGTTGTTATGCAGATTCTGATTGGGCAAGTGATAAGAAATCACGTAAAAGTACTTCAGGTTATATGATGTTCTTAAATGGATGTCCTGTTTACTAGCATGTGCGAAAACAGAATTTTGTTTCTTGTTCATCTACTGAGGCTGAATATGCTTGTGTTTCAGATGCATGTAATTCTCTAACATGGTTTGATGCTTTGGTCACAGATATCTGGACAAACCCGAGCCGACCAATTACCGTGATGGAAGACAATGAATCTGTGGTTTATATTTCTGAATCATGTTTCGTGGGTTCTAGGTCCAGACACATTGACATCCGTTACAAAAATATAAAACAATTAGTGAAACAAAGTTTTGTAAAATTGCAGTATGTGCCTACACATGTTCAGATTGCTGATATGCTCAACAAACCACTTCCAGCAGCTCAGCACGAGTATCTGCGTAAGAAGATGTGCCTTACTTGATGGCAGTACCTGATGTCCGCTCAACTGACAAAGAAGGGGTTGTCACTGTGTTAAGTGTTTGCTGTCAGCCAGCTGAGCTTCCATTCTAAGACTTACGGTAGTCTGCCAGAGAACTTATCTGTAGCAACTGAGATAAGACTGGTCTTGTGATTTCTGGACTACAGCGCATGTCTACATTTTTTCTTTTCTAACTTCCTGATTTATACTTCCTTTGTCCGTCTGTGTGATAAGACGGCTGGTAAAATGTAGTTAGCTAGTTTTTTACTTTTATAATAAAATGTTTCTTAGAATACATTCGGGTTTTCTTTCTTTGAAAGTATACAGCATGGAAAACAAGATCCATTCACCTCTAATTAATTACAGTTTCCCCAGGGGGGAATGAGGCTGATTCATGCTTTGACAGGCCGCTCCTCAAGCCGCCCACCAGTTGAGATCCCCCAGCCTAACGCCCTGCAAGCAGAAGTGACAAAAATAGAGTTAAGGCTGGGCATGGATGCAGCAAGGGGTCCTCAGCCGAGGAACCCCCCTCCTATGTCGTTCTTCCTTCGGCATGCACGCCCAATGGCAGCTGCCACCAAATCGCACCGCCGCTACTCTTCAATCTTCTCAAACTCAAAGTACACCAACAAAGGGAAAGAAAAACAAAACAAAAAAATATTTTTAACAAGAAAAACTATCTATTAAATTTACACTAAATTTAAACCGGAGAGAACTCTAAATCCGTCCGAACGAGCTCAGGACTAAGTTGAATCTGGAACCGTGTGCAAAGGAGGACATCTCTTTAAAATTGAACTCAGTCCATAGAGCCAGAAGACAGAGTGATACCCATGCCTGGAGTCTCAAGTTCCTAGCTGGAAAACCCCCTGGTAAGTCAGCGTGGGGGCCCCATGACCATCCCAGTAGAATAAAGGGTGCCTTCATCCGGTGCCCAGGGGAAAATGCTAGCCCTCTTAGACTCTGGATGAACCAGGTGTGTCATCAGCCCCAAGGTGGTGGACAAACTGGGGCTGAGACTAAAAACCATGAAAGTGCCCATCGCATTTTGCCAGTTGGATGGGTCAATAGCTGGGGGTTTGGTGTTTCTGGACAATTGGGATATTGAAATTTTAGTGGAATATTGACCAATGATTAGTGTAGCATCTCAGCACAAAATGTCTCAGCAGGAGAAAACAAATGCAAGCTATAAAGAAATAATGTTGATGTTTCAATGCATTAAGGAAGACTAAGAAATCATAAGGAGATGATGGAATTGATGCAAGATATGGTGAGATTAGGAAAACCCCAGCAAAGGACTATAAAAAATGAACAAAAAATTCAGAAAATAGAGGAGAAAACAGAAAGTGTTGAGGAAAAAATAGAGGAGATAATTCAAAAAATGATACAAGTAAACAAAAAGATAGCAATAGTTTCAAACATGGAATGAATAGAATATTTTTTAAGAATTCAAAATAGAAAAGAGAATAATGAGAAAGATTCTTTAAAAAGGATGGGGGAACTGAGGATGGGTACTCTAGAGATCCAACAGAAAGAGAGTTACAAGATACGAGAGGAGAAGCAGGACAGATTCACCAAAAAGCTAATAAGAATTGAAATTATAAAAAGGGCAAGAGATGATAGATACACATAGAATAATTTTTAACATGGTGGTTATTTTAATAAGTGTTAGAAAAAAAAGTAGAAAGTAGAAATTGGGAAAATAATATGTATACTGAAATATAATAGAACATATTATGATTATTATGTATACATAAATGTTAGAAGTTGAAAAAATATGATTATGTATATTTAAATGGTAATTTTACTATCAGAACTGTATGCAAAATATACTCTGTTTATACACTGCTCAAACAACTAAAGGAAACACAAAACTACTGTATGTAACGAACAAAGTATTTAATAAGGCTATTTCATTCATTCAGATCTCAGATGTCTTCTGCTTGTGTTCCCTTTATTTTTTTGAGCAGTGTATATTGACCCAGATAATATACTGTCCGCTAAACACTTATGAATGTTAAAGAAAAAAATATTTTAAAAAATATTTTAAAAAAGAAATTCAAAAGCTCCCTGATATTAAAGTAGGAAAGTAGAAGTCTCCTTTTCAGGAAAAAAAAATATTCTGGAAATTGCTAAAATAAACTAGCATAACCTGTTCCACTTCATTTTATTCAATGTTATCAAGTTTTTCAGCAGCCAGACCAGTGGAAGGTTTCAAAAAATTTTACTACCGGTTCTGTGGCTGTGGCTTGGTGGGCATGGCATGGCTTGGTGGGCATGGCAGGGGAAGGATACTGTAAAATCCCCACTCCCTCCCCAATCCAGGGGAAGGTTACTGCAAAATCCCCATTTCCTCCCAATCACCTGGGACTTGGGAGCCAGAGAATAGATGGGGGCGGGGCCAGTCAGAATTTTTACTACCGGTTCTCCGAACTACTCAAAATTTCCACTATCGGTTCTCCAGAAGTGGTCAGAACCTGCTGAAATCGACCTCTGAGCAACACAGCTGACTCTGAAATCTTGAAAGCTTTCCTATGGTTACAGAAAAGTGAGAGAAACATTTAAATTCACAAGGGTACTGAAACCAATTCAATTACGTCTCCAAATGATCCCTGGGCAGGGGTGAAATGCTCCCGGTTCGGACCGGCTCGGGCGAGTAGGTAGTGATGGCGGCGGGCAGTTCGGAGAACCGGTAGCAAAAATCCCTGCCACCACCCCCCATGCCCAGCTGAGCCGCGCGATCATCAGAGCCTTTTTTTTCTTTTAAATGGCTCTGACCAGCCAAGCTCTGACGATCCCAGCTGAGTTGCCTGCTAATCAGGCAACTCAGCTTGGATCGCCAGAGCCATGTAAAAGAAAAAAACTTTTTTCCTTTTAAATGGCTCTGCCTGCTAATTGGTAGCAAAAATCCCTCCCCCTCCCCCCCTCAGCTTGCTTACCTTAGCTGCTGGTCGCAACGCCTTGCTGTAATCCCTGCATCCATTGCATCAGCAAGCAACTGAATCTCCCTGCCTGCAATCAAGCAGGCAGGGAGTTGTGGACTTCAACTCCCAGAATTCCTCAGCCAGCAAAGCAAAGCTGGCTGAGGAATTCTGGGAGTTGAAGTCTTACAAGTTTTAAAGTTGCCAAGGTTGGAGACACCTGTTCAATTGGGTAAGTTTTTTTCTCCTTTGGGAGCTTTAAAAAAATAGTTAATTGGGTTTTTTTTTTTAATTGTTCTTTTTTTAGACCTAGCCATTTAAAGTTTAGGAAGTTTTAAATTTAGCTGCTTTTATATAAAAATAAAAATAAATTAAAATAAAATAATATTTGTGTAGTTTTCTGAGATTTAGTGTGTTTCTGTAGTGTTTCATTCTAACTACACAATCACATAAAATCTCACAAAGGTGTATGTGGAATTTTGTGTGTATAAAGTGTGAAAGTTGGTTTTTTGGGCTTTTTGTGGCTGTGTGAGGTTTCTGCTTGTTGCAGGGGCCATTTTGGGTCTAGCACAGCTGCTTTTACATTGTGGGTGAACCAGTTGTGTTGTGTTGTGTTGTGTTGTGTGTGTATAAAGTGTGAAAGTTGGTTTTTTGGGCTTTTTGTGGCTGTGTGAGGTTTCTGCTTGTTGCAGGGGCCATTTTGGGTCTAGCACAGCTGCTTTTATATTGTGGGTGAGCCAGTTGTGTTGTGTTGTGTTCTGTAGGTTAAAAAAGGGCAAAGAAGTGACATTGACTTGGCCATGCCCACCTGACCAACAAGCCACGCCCTCCTAGTCACCTTACCACCAAGCCCTGCCCACTAATTAAGCCACGCCCACAGAACCGGTAGCAAAAAATTTTAGATTTCACCCTGGGTTCATGCTAAATAGCACAGGAGGAACAGCTGGATTATCACCAGTTGAGCCAAAAGCCAGAAGGAAGGAAGGGCTTAAACAAGATGCAAAATCTCCACTAGGTGCTCAGTGGCATTCTCTGCTAATGGCGAGAGTATCTCAAGTACGATGTTTTATATTGCAAGCACTGAGCTGTGGAATGGGATGTGCAAAAAGCAAACTTACCGAGAATGAGAACTGAAGTCATAAACAGGTATTTGAACTGCCTTCTCATTCATGATCTTTTTAAGTGTTTGGCCAATCAATTCATTGTCAAAGGCATCTATAAAGAGAAGCACAGATAATGTGTAAAGTTGTAATTAACATATCAATATAATCTGATGGGCTTTCAATGTTTATTGGACCCGTGTCCCTCCTGGTTGGTGCTGGCCTCCCGGGAGGTTACGCGAGGCTGGCTCCAGGGTATTATCAACGCTTCTTCGAGCGAGGGTGTCTTGCCATCCGCCTTGAAAGAGGCGGTGGTGAGGCCCCTCCTCAAGAAGCCTGCTCTGGATCTGGCTGTTTTGGCTAACTATCGTCCGGTCTCCAACCTTCCCTTCTTGGCGAAGGTTGTTGAGAGTGTGGTGGCGCAACAGCTTCCTGGGTACCTGGATGAAGCTGTCTATCTGGATCCGCTCCAGTCCGGCTTCAGGCCTGGGCACAGCACGGAAACGGCATTGGTCGCGTTGGTGGATGATCTCTGGAGGGCTCGGGATAGGGGTTGTTCCTCTGTCCTGGTCCTGTTAGATCTCTCAGCGGCTTTTGATACCATCGACCATGGTATCCTGCTGCGCCGGTTGGAGGGGTTGGGAGTGGGGGGCACTGTTTTGCGGTGGTTCTCCTCCTATCTCTCTGACCGGTCGCAGTCGGTGTTGGCAGGGGGGCAGAGGTCGACCCCGAGGCGCCTTGTTTGTGGGGTGCCTCAGGGGTCGGTCCTCTCGCCCCTTCTGTTCAACATTTATGTGAAGCCGCTGGGTGAGATCATCCGTGGCTTTGGGGTGGAGTTCCATCAGTACGCTGATGATACTCAGCTGTACATCTCCACCCCGGGCCATCCCAACGATGCCCTTGAAGTGATGTCCCAGTGCCTGGAGGCCGTGCGGATCTGGATGGGGAGTAACAGGCTCCGACTCAACCCTTCCAAGACCGAGTGGCTGTGGCTTCCGGCGTCCCGATATAGCCAGCTGGTACCATCGCTGGCTATTGGGGGCGAGTTATTGGCCCCCACGGATAGGGCTCGCAACTTGGGCGTCCTCCTGGATGCATGGCTGTCTTTAGAAGAGCATATGACGGCCGTGGCCAGGGGGGCTTTTTATCAGGTCCGCCTGATTCGCCAGTTGCGTCCCTTTCTGGATCGGGATTCCTTACGCACAGTCACTCAGGCACTCGTCACTTCCCACCTGGACTACTGCAATGCTCTCTACATGGGGCTCCCCTTGAGGAGTACCCGGAGGCTCCAACTGGTGCAGAATGCGGCCGCACAGGGGATTATGGGAGTGAGGGGTCGCTCCCATGTGACACCTCTCCTGCGTGAGCTGCATTGGCTTCCAGTGGTCTTCCGGGTGCGCTTCAAGGTGTTGGTTACCACCTTTAAAGCGCTCCATGGCATAGGACCTGGGTACTTGCGGGACCGCCTTCTGCCGCCGATAGCCTCCCACCGTCCAGTACGCTCCCACAGAGAGGGACTCCTCAGGGTGCCGTCGGCCAGGCAATGTCGGCTGGCGACCCCCAGGGGGAGGGCCTTCTCTGTGGCAGCCCCCGCCCTCTGGAACGATTTGCCCCCGGAGATAAGAAGGATATCGGATCTTCGGGTCTTTCGCCGAGTCCTGAAAACTCTTCTTTTCCAGCAAGCAGGGCTGGCGTGAACCCCGCCCCCCTTTTTTAGTTTTTAATGGTTATTAATTGTTTAGTTTTAATTTGTTAATGGGTTTTAATTCGCACTGTTTTAATTCGGGCCAAAGTATATAATTCTTTTAATTAATTTTAAATTTTGTATTGTTATGTATTTTAGTTTTGGCTGTGCACCGCCCTGAGTCCACTAGGAGAAGGGCGGTATATAAATTGAATAAATAAATAAATAAATAAATAATAGACCTTCTGATGGACAGTTGGCATCCAGGTAAATTATCAATTTTATATTGAGCCTCCTTAAATTTATGTAGTCTTCTCAAGTCTTTAGCTGCTATGAAAACAAGTGCCTACTACTTATCCCCCTTTTTTGCAGAGGAAAAGAAAATATTAATGGCTTTCCCCAGGGGATGAGTCATTGAAACTGGTATTAAATAGAAATGCTTATGACTTTATGACAGTAGACACAGTCCCAAACCTCCCATGTCTCCATTTACTGCTTTGGAACAATTGAAGGTTGGAAATGTGGCTGTTTTGTCCTGTGAGTTTTTAATCTGATTATTCATAATTTTGTTTATTTTTCTTTCTAGTTAATTTTTCATATTTGATAGCCATAGTCTTCTAGCCCAAGTAGCTGCTTTTCATGGTTGGGTCACTTCTCAACAGATTTGTATTTTTAGAAAGGAGATTATAGCATTGTAACATTTCAGTCTTCCAAGTCTTCTTGAGCAAATGAAAGACAAGATAGTGTCTATGGTTATCCATTCCCTTATCAATCTGTGACAAGTTACCTGGATGGTCAAAGTTGAAATGGCCTATGAGGGCTTTTGCTTTCTGCTCTGTGGTGAGTACACGGTAGAAACTGTCCTGGCTTAGAATCACAACTCATTTCTGATGAAGGTCTACTTCATTCTGTCCGAGCAGTTGAATAATTTTGGCACAAACAGAGGACTGCAAAAAATATAAGGAAGAAAGGATGAACAAAGATTTTGGCATGGTAATATGAAAGAAAGAAAATCTGTAAGGCAGTTGGTAACTCTCTAGCTCTCCAGCATCAGTTTCTCTGTTGGCTTCAAGAAGCTCCTGTGGGAAATTGTAAAGTCACAAAATTAAAATCGTAAACCAGAGGAGCACACAAATTCAGAGAGCCTGTAGTTGTCAGTTTGGGAAGATGTCTAAACAAAAGATAATACAGTACCACTTGTAGATGAAAAATCCACAACTCCAAATGTTATAAACAGATCAGAAATTAAGGTTCTGTAGAAAGCTTAACGAAGGGACTTCCGGTTTGCGAGCTTCGGCGACGGCGGTGACTTTTTAAAGACCGCCAGCCCCGCCGCCTGTAGAGCCGCCCCGCGAACGAGGTGCGGCTCGAAAACTCCGAAATCTTGAAGATTGCAGGAGCAGAGACAGCAGGGTACAGGTTGAGCCCCTGTAACCCCCCCAGGGAATTGCTTCTGGGGGTGAAAACAGGTGTGGCTCCCTTCCAACCTGCGGAGACTCCGGGCGGCGTGGGACGATTCTGCCTTCAGCAGAACAAGCCGGCAGCAGCAAACTTTTAAAGTGAGAGGAATTAATTTTAACAAACAGCGGAAATATCAACTTGAATCCAGAAACTTGAAAACTGCAAGTATTGGTGCTTTGTTGACTTTTTAAATCAAAAGAGAAAGTGAGCGAGTGAAAGTGATTTGAAAAAATATGGCGTCCAGCGTTTGAGTTAACGAGCTAGTGAAAGTGGATTTGTGAAGCCTCCCTGCTTTGCTACAAAGTTGTAAAATTGCTACAAAGTTGCTCTATCTAAAGAAAAAATTTCTTTTGCTAAAATTTGACTCTGCTTTACTTTAGTTCCACCTGATTAAATCTGGGGGACTTTTTTAGAAGTTTCTGTGGAAGAGGGAAAGGAAAAAGAACTTCCCTCTTCAAAAAAACTAGCTTACGTGGCACGATGGCTTCAAAGAAGCAGGAAGGGAAGGCATCAGGGGGGGGATCCCCCACACATAAACATCAAACGCAACTTCCCCCTGCTCAACAGTTACAAACTCAGAAAAAAGAATTTGATGTGGCAGATTTAAAAGAATTTATTTCTAAAACTTTGGATGATAAATTTCAAGAATCACAACAGGAGATAGATGATAAACTTCAAAAATCACATCAGGAATTTTTGCAGGAAATTAATGAAGTTAAAGACATGGTGAAACAGAATCAAATTATGGTGACCAAAAAAATATCAGAAGTGGCGTCTGGCCTGGCAGATTTTATTGGGAAAGTTGATTTTAAAGTTGAAGAATTTAAATCAGAAGTTAATGTTAGGATGAAAGACAATGACTATAAAATTGATGAAGTTGACAATAAAATGCAGAGAATTGAAGATGAGATTGTTATGATACAATTCCGGGCGATGGAATTTGCCATACGGCTTCGGGGAATTCGAGAGGAGGAAAGACAGGACTTGAGACAAGTTTGCTCTGAAGCCCTGGCTAAGATTTTACAAGTTAATCCTGATTTGGTATTTCATAAAATAGATAAAATTTACAGAGTGAACTCTTGGGTGGCCAGGCAAAGACAACTACCCAGAGATGTGGTCATATACTTTACTGAGAGAGAAATTAGAAATGATATCCTGCAAAAATCTTTTCACACTTCTATACAAGTGGGGGGCTCACGGCTTGTAATTTTTAAAGAATTACCTCCTAAAATGCTGAAAGCTAGAAAAGAATTTGGTTTTCTTGTTAAGGAATTGAAAAATTTACAGATACCCTTCCGGTGGGATGCACCAGCTGGGGTAATTTTCAGATATAAGGGAGAAGGATATCGGTTGAATACCGTGGAGAAGGCGCAACACTTTTACAGTACTATTCTTAAGGAAAGAACACCATCTCCACGTACATCTACAGTTTTGGAGATTAAGGAGAGTGAAGAGAGGCAATTGAAAGAACAGTCTAAGCAGGAATTAGAAAACGTGCAAGGTGCAGAAGGAGGTATTCTGAGTGAGCCCTTGCTGGATTCTTCTCCAATTTTGGATTTGATTCAGTTGACTGAAGTTAAAGATCAACGTATAACTAGAGCTCAATCCAAGCTACTTAAACAAAAGCAACAACAACAACAGGAAAGACAAGACAAGAAGGCAGTTAAGAGCACTGCACAAGAGATTGGAGCTATGGGAGGAGCGAGATCGAAGCTCTCGGATGAACTTCAAGCATATTGCTCTGCGCTCCAGAAAGAGGCTAATGACCTTTAAGTGTTTATCTTGGAATGTCAATGGGTTGAATTCAGCACAGAAAAGGAAAAAATTATTTACATATTTGAAACAATTTAATAATGATATAATATGTTTACAAGAAACGCATATCACAACTCAAGATCAAAAATATTTGATAAACTCAAAACTAGGAGCACATTATATATCTTCAACTTCGCAGAAAAAGAATGGTGTGGTTATTTATGTAAATAAAAAATTAACAGCAAAAGTTATAGAAGTAGATCAAGATGGTAGATTTGTAGCAATTGAATTGTTTACAGCAAATGGTCAAATTCTTTTGATTGGAATTTATGCTCCCAACCAACAACAGGATTATTTTTACAAGATGTTACATACTAAAATATTGCAATGGGACTACAGATCTATTTTAATTATGGGAGATTGGAATGGAGTAATTGATTCTAAATTAGATAAAAAGAGCTTGGCAAAGTCTAGAATTAGATTACCACAGACCTTTTTTGATATGAAAGAAGATATGGAACTAAAAGATGTTTGGAGAATACATAATCCAAATGAATTGGATTACACTTTTTTTTCTGATAGACATAGATCCTTTTCTAGGATTGATTTTATTTTGTTGTCAAATGATCTACTTGTTAAGACAAAAAGAACAAAGATTTTTCCAAGAACTTTGACTGATCATAGTCCTGTATGGATAGAAATCGAGATGGATAAGGTTGAGAGACGTTCTTGGAGATTAAATGAGAACTTGTTTAGATATGAAAAAAATATAATAGAACTTAAAAAGCATTTGAAAGAATTTTTTGAAATAAATTTGAATAAAGGTACCCCAGTTGAAATTGTTTGGGACGCAAGTAAAGCTTATATGAGAGGGGTACTTATCTACATGAATTCTAAACACAGACTGTTCCGACAAAAGAAAAGATCTGAGTTGGAAATGGAAATAAAGAATAAAGAACAGTTACTTATTAAAAACCCAACAGATGAAAGAATACGAAGTGCTATAAAACTTTTGAAAGACCAATTCCAAATGCTTATGGCGGAACAAGTTGCAACAAGCTTACAATACGCGAAGCATAATACATTTTGCAATGCTAATAAACCGGGCAGATGGTTGGCCTACACATTGAGGAAAAAACAAAGTATACGGACTATTGACAGTATTGATATTGGAGGGAAAGAAATCTTTCAACAAAAATTAATTAAAGAAGTTTTTGTGGATTATTATACTAAACTATATGCTAAAGAAGAGGTGCAGAATGGATTTATAGAAAAATATTTAAAGGATAAGAGAGTTACAAAAATTACTGATCAACAAAAGGAAAGAATGAATTATCTTATAACAGAGGAGGAGATAATAGCAGCAATTAAACAGCTAAAAACAGCCAAAGCTCCTGGCACGGATGGTTTGACTGCAGTGTATTACAAAACTTTACAAGCTGAAATGGTGGGACAACTTAGAGATTTATTTTGCAATATTCAACAAGGGGGTAAAATACCCCCATCTTGGACAACTGCTTATATATCTTTGATACCAAAGGAACAAGTTGGTCCTAAAAAACCAGAGAACTACAGACCAATATCTCTTTTGAACACAGACTATAAAATTTATGCGAAGGTATTAGCCAACAGGTTGATGCCAGTAATTCAAAAGGTGATTCATGAGGACCAAGCGGGATTTATTGAGGGCAGACACATGAAGGACAATGTAAGGCAAGTAATAGATTTATTGGAATATCTTGAGAAGAATAAACAGATTCCTGCAGTGCTGGTCTTTTTGGATGCGGAGAAGGCCTTTGATAGAGTGGATTGGAATTTTCTACTAAAGACTTTAAAAAAGATGGGCTTTGGGGACCAATTTATACAGGCGATTTCAGCAATTTATCAAGAGCAAAAAGCACAGATTATTATTAATGGAAGTTTGACGACAGAGTTTAAAATTGAAAAAGGAACAAGACAGGGATGTCCGTTGTCCCCACTTTTATTTATTTTAACATTGGAAGTCTTGCTAAATACAATACGGGACTCAAAAATTTTGAAAGGCATAATGATAAGGCAAGAGGATTATAGAATAAAGGCATTTGCAGATGATCTGGTGGTTACCCTATCACAACCAATGGAATCAACAATCCTGATGAATGACATTATACAAGACTATGGTAGAGTTTCAGGTTTTAGACTGAATTCAAAAAAGACTAAAATGATAGTCAAAAATATGACACAAGATCGTAAACATGAGCTTGAAAGGAGGGCAGGTTTTGAAATTGTACCTAAGGTAAAATATCTTGGAGTTCAGGTTGCAGAATCAAACATGAAATTGTTTCAAAATAACTATGAGGTGTTGTGGCGAGAGGTTCAGAAAGACATGGAGACTTGGAAAAAGCTGCAACTGTCTTTACTTGGAAGAATAGCAGCAGTTAAGATGAACATTTTGCCAAGATTTCTGTTTTTGTTTCAAATGATTCCGGTGCTTAAAAGTGATAAACAACTGAAAGTTTGGCAAACTGGACTTAATAAGTTCGTCTGGAACGAGAAAAAGCCGAGAGTGAAATTGAAAATTATGCAAGATGTTCCAGAAAGAGGAGGCCTTAAACTTCCAAACCTACAGTTATATTATGATGCAGCAGCTTTAACTTTAACAAGTGATTGGTTTGGGGGTAAAAAGGCTGGAATATTGAATGCAGAAAGTTTTGATCTTGAATTTGGATGGCATGCTTACCTATTTTATGAT